GTTTGTTGGGTCTGGTTTTTATAATCCAGTGTGATAATCTCTACCTTTTATGGCTTAGACCATGTACATTTAATGTGATTGTAGATATGGTTAAGGTTAAGTCTGTCATCTTGCTGTTTATTTTCTGTTTGTCCCATTTGTTCCTGTTTCCCTATCCTCCCCTCACCTTTTGCCCTCTTTTGGATTGTGTCATTTTTTATGATTTCATTTTATCCCCTTTGTTGGCTTATTGACTATAATACTTTGTTTCTGTACTTAAGTGGTTGTTTAAAGCTTTTAATATGCATCTTCAGTTTATCACTACTTACCTTCATTATATTAAATAATTCTTGTGTCATATGAGAGCCTTATAATATTGTACTTCTGTTTCTCTCCTCCCAAACTTTGTGCTATTTCCAGTATTCTTAATTCCTTTGTGTAGGCTCAGATGGTAAAGAATCTGCTAGCAATCCCTGGGTTGGGAAGATCCCCTGGAGAAGGGCACAGCAACCCACTCCAGTATTCTTGCCTGGAGAATCCCATGGACAGAGAATCCTGTCCGTCTACGGGCTACCATCCATGGGGTTGCAAAGAGTTGGACATGACTGAACGATTAACACTTCCATATTTTCACCTGGTGTTATTTTAAAGAATTAATTTTTTAAATTAACCTGGTGTTAATTTAAAGAACCTAATGTTCTTTAAATTTTCTTATAGTGCAGATTTGTCCATGATGAATTCATTCATCTTTTTCTGTGTGTGTGTCTAAAAATGCATTTCCCTTTTATTTTTGAGAGATATTTTTACAGGATATAACAATCGTAGGTTGCCAGCAGTTATCATTTTGGGTTTTATTTTTTATTAAAATGTGTTCGGGATTTGTTGTGCATGTTACATCTGTGGGTTTGTAGTTTTAATTACATTTCAAGACATTTCTTCAAATGTTTTTCTTTTCCTCACCTTTCTTCCTTTATGGACTCCATTTATACCTATATTAGGAGTCTTAAAGTTGACCCATAGCTCACTTATGCTTAATTTATCCTTCTATAATGAATAGTGTATTCATTTGGGTATTTCCTACTGCAGTCTTCAAATTCATGAATCTTCTATAATGTATAGTCTTCCATTAATTCCAAATGAACATATTTTTCATCTCAGATACCATTTTTGTCTCTAGAAGTCTGATTTGTATCTTTTTAACATTCTATATTTCTATATAACTTTTTGGAGGAATATGGTTATAATGTTTGTGTTTTTAATTTTAAGATGTGTGTCTATTTTTAAATTTTTCTTATTGTAAGATACTTGGGTTGGTTTTAGTTGAGTTTTTTTCCTGCTTTTTTGCTTGCCTGTTAATTTTTAACTGGATGCCATATATTATGAATTTACCTTGTTTGGCTGGTGGATACTTTTGTACTCCTATAAATTTTCTTGATCTTTGTTTTAGGATTTAGTTTACTTACTTGGAAACAATTTGATTCTTTCACATCTTGCTATTAGCATTCGTTGGATGTGACTAGGACAGTACTCAGTTTAGGTTTAATTATTTCCCACTTCAGAGCCAAGACCCTTTAGATCCCCCCTCTAGTGCCCTTTTATGAGGTTTTCCAGCCTCGCTGTGGGGAGAGAGGGACAGGCCCTTTTCCTGGCTCTGTATGAGTCCTCGGCAGTGTTTTCTCTAATTCTCTGAGTCAGTTGTTTCTCCAGCTTCATTAATGAGGTTTCCTCATGTGTGCGTTGATTGGTACTAGACTCTGCAGATTGCTGAGGTTTTCTCTGTGCCGCTCTTCCCTCTCTGGCATACTCTTTCCTTAGAACCCTGCCACCTATTGTCCCCAGCCTCTCAGCTCCTCATCCGTAACTCAGAGTCCATCAGCTTCTGCCTAGGTTTTGCCTCTGTGTTTTACTTGAGAAACTCTTCTCAAGGTAGTAATTTGGGGCAGTGGTTGGCCTTTGTTGTTGTTGTTGTTGTTGTTCAGTTGCTAAGTCGTGTCCAACTCTTTGCCACCCCATAGACTGTACCCCTCCAGACACCTCTGTCCGTGGGATTTCCCAGGCTAGAATACTGGAGTGAGTTGCCATTTCCTTCTCCAGTGGATCTTCCCGACCCAGGGATTGAACCCATGTCTGCTGCATTGGCAGGCAGATTCTTTACCACTGAGCCACCAAGGAAGCCCATGGTTAGCCTTATCCAATTTGTTTTTTCATCTTCCAGGGATTACTCTCTTTTCCAAATGTGCTATGTCTTTGTCATTGTTTCATGTATTTTGCTTTTGGGTAGTTTCAGACAGGAAGGTAAATTTAGTCTTTGTTTCTCTGTCTTGGCTAGAAGCAGGTGTTGGGGCTGATATACTTTTCATCTCCTTTCCTGTTCTCAGTTCATGTATCCCAAACTCTTAGATGCAACAGGAAGCAGTTACCTCTATGAACTTGCTTGTCCTCATTTTCGTTTGCACTTGTTAATTATGTTTGCCCTTAGAGTGCTTTCCTGATCTAAAATTATTTAATTAAATAGAGTAGGACATAATTAGTCTTCCTTGACATCTGATTTTGAAGGTCTCATTCAGAGTACATTCCATTTGAGAATGAAAAAAAGGAACAGGAATATATTATGACACCTTTTGCATTTGTTTAATGTCTAAACAGTTTAGAAATGAAGCCAGTATTTAAGCAAAATATTTAGTGGTATTTAATCTTTCAGCTATAAAGATGTGTAGTTGAAATCCTTTTGCAGTTAATCAGTTGGCTTGGCCCTTACTGAACATTTATCTATCCTTTATTTGCCTTAGTTGTAATTGTGTTTGTATCTTATCTGCTATCCGTTAGATTCATATTTAGAAAATGTGTTTAGTAGTACATTTAAAACTTAGAATAATATGAGGGTTTTTTTCCAGTATGTAATGCTTATTCTATTATTGTGGATTCCTTTCTTTTTCCTACTTCTGGAGATGAGTCAGAAATTTCATTGTTCCTATTGTAAGGTTTTTAACTTAAAAGTAGGATCTTTTGATTTGTTCTATTTAAAGAAAAAAAATTATATTCCAATGATGTGATCCTACTCTGGTCTTTTTCACTGGAAGGAAGGTGGGAATAGAGGGTTGTTCTTTTTTTCTTTCTGTAGATTTATGAGAGACAGATGACTGATAAAAACTGGTTGGTTGCCTTTATTTCCTTAGAAGTCACTCTTAGGGTAGATACAAAGTCAGCCTTATTTATTGTTTTTTTCAGTCTGTTATAGTGAGATGATAATGATCTTCATAATGAAAGAAACCAGTAAAATATCAGTGTTACAGCTAATAAATCAGAGGAGATGATCCCTGAGCACTGTTGGATTTAAAACTGACTCATCAAGATTACATTTTTAAATAATGTGGTTTTGGTGAAGGACAGTAGGGTAACATCATGGAAGAGGCGATGGAATGAATTGAAAGGATTAGGTTACAGTGTTATGAGCATATCTAAAATTCCATGTGACTCTGAGAAAAATCTTGTGATTTTGAACTTTAATGTCTTCACCTGTTAAAACTAAATAAAGTAACATTTAGTGGGTGATTCTGTTGTGCCAGGCACATTATTGGTCAGTTTACTGATTATACTTCATTTAATCCTCGTATTAAACTTAGAAAGTCGGTAGGATCTACAGTTACAGGTGAGGAAACTAAGGTTCCAAAATGTTAAGTTAGCATTCAACATGTTGAACCATTAACTATTAAAAGACAATTTGATTGTAAGTCTTTATTACTCTGAAGCCACGAAGTTCCTTCTATTCCTCTCTTTTTCCTGTTTCTGAAAAGCACTTTAATATTTTTAAATGATGAACTATGTTGTTTGCTAATAAGATGGTAAATTTTCACCTGCCTTAGGTTAGGCTCTTTCATTTCTGTCCCTGTCAGTTTTCCTACTTACAGTGTACTTTGATTATTAAAATCTTAGCTATTTGTTAGTGCCAGGTTCACCAGCGATTTACAGTAATGTCTTCTTGTGAAATCTTAGAGCATTTATTTGTCATTCATTTATTAATTGTATTTGAAATACATTTAATTATTTTATATTTTAAATTTGGGATAACATTTGAATTGTTTACACTGTTTAAATGTAACAATTCATGTATAACTGCTGCACTTAAATCATAAGCATTCTAAGTAAGGAAGCTGCTTCTATCCTGGCATGTAACAGCATTGTGCACATACTACATATAACTTAATAGGTAATTATGTGAATGAATGCTGCCAACTAGAATATCTTAATCATCTTCAGTTACTCATTTCCCATGGGCACATTTGTTCTATGTAAGATATTTTAAAATTTTAAATTATGTTACTTTATTTAGTCAGTGCTATTAGCTTTTTAGAAAAATACTTTTCAGAATTTTTCAAGAGAGTCCAATCAAAATGAATTGATTTGAGTTAGCATGTATTCTTTTTTTTTTTAATTACTTTTCGACAGTGTTTCATGGCATGTAGAATCTTAGTCTTATGCCCCCTACATTGGACTTGGGGGGAGTCTTAACCACTGGACTACCAGGGAAGTCCCTGGCATGTATTCTTATTTTATTTGGCAGCAAGACCAATTACTTTGTCCCATACCTCAGTGTTTAAGAGTTCCAGAAGCTGGTGCTCATCCTCTCCTTTTCCCTTACAGTCAGCAAAACCAGGAGAACATTTGAGTTATATTTAAAAGATTTGGATGGTCTCTACTGCTAGTACTACTGCTGCTAACTACTACTGCTGCCTCTTCTACTGTGATACTAACTCAACAGTCAGTTAACCTTTCTGGGCTTTAGTTTTCTCATCCTTAAAAAGACTGAATTGGAGTATGTGATCTTTAAAGACATAGTGTTCCAGAATTTATAAAACCTGCAAGTTTAAAATAAATTAGGTTTCAGAATTGTTAAGTATAATAGCATTTGACTGTTGCACTTCAGAATATTAGTAATTTTATATTAATTGGGAGTTTTTATGGAAAGTGTTTGCAATTTCATGTTCTGCTTTTATGGTTAATTTTCTTTTCTAATTTATCAGCACTCCCTCACGTGTTGCTAAAGGAGCTGTCGACCACACCAAAATGAGTCTGCATGGTGCTAGTGGGGGACATGAGAGATCAAGAGATAGACGAAGGTCAAGTGATAGATCACGAGATTCATCTCATGAAAGAACAGAATCTCAGCTCACTCCTTGTATTAGAAATGTTACTTCTCCAACACGACAGCACCATGTTGGTATGTAAAATCAACTAAACTTCCCAACAGGGTTTTTTTTTTTTTTTTAAATTTGGCTATGCTGTGCAACTTGTGGGATCTTCCTTTCCTGACCATGGATCAAACCCGGGCCCTGGCATTGAAAGCGCTGAGACCTAACCACTGGACTGCCAGGAAATTCCCAATGCACTTACCTTTTCAAAGTAGTAACAGTGAATTATGCCTAATACTTTACAGTAAAATTAACATCTTACTTCTTTTCAGTTGCTTCTGTTTTAACTTAGCTTGATTCTTGCTGTTAAAAAAAACTTACTAAATGAAACTTTAAAGTGCATTTTTTTTCAGAGTTTGGGACAGTTTTATAAAAAATAATTTGAACAGGATTTACAACTGTAATATATAGATTAAAATTTTTTCTTCAAGTAATTTTTATCTTTTGAGATATATAGCAGTGGTTTATTTAAAATAAGCTGCAGTAAATTATTGATGAGAATCCTTGTTAATCATACTAAAAAAAGAAGTGAAAGAGTAACCATCATGGAGTCATTTAGCTTGATTTTTGACAATATTTTAAATTTAATTAAAATTAAATAAAAAACAGAAGAGGAAAAGGAGGGTGGAAGTAGGTTTTTTCCCCCTTGACAGCTCAGGTCTTTATTCCTTCCTACTCTTTTTTTATAAATGAATGCTATTCCTCCAGGTAAATACAATGTGAGCTTGCTGATTTTTATTTTTACCTCAGAAGTGGCAAATTAAATATTTTGACTTACTATTTGAGGCAGTTTCTGATTACCTCATATAAATAAAAATCATGTATATTAGGTCTAATTATGTGGAGAGGTTGTCAGTATCTAAGTAGGTCTTTAAAGTCAGATTAATGCTAATAAGCTAAAAACCTACAAAAGTGTAAATAAGAGCTGACAGTTTGTTATATGCAAAGTTTAGTATCTGGGAAGAGAATAGGGGATATAATAAGTTATTTTATTGCTTTAGCAAGTTTTACTTTTAGGGTGCTACCAACATTGTAGAAATAGGCACTACAAGGGAGGTGTCAGGGTATCTCTGGAGAGACAGCAAGCCTAATTATATAACCAGTAAAGCTGTACAGAGTGTTCTAAGTAGCCTGAGTCATGAAGGAATTTGGCAAAAGCTGATGAAACTGATGAGATGGAGGTACATTTTTAGGTCACCTTTAAAGTTTAGTAATCTAATCTCTAAAGGAAACATCACAGAATCTTAGTTTTAATTTCCCTTTTGTAGACTGTTGGAACAGCTAAAGAAAATTTTCTGAATTTTAACAGTGTTTCTTTATATTAAAATTATAGGTAATAATAATATCCTATAAAATTTGTAGCAGTGCTTTTTTCAAAAATGAGAGTGAGAAGAAAGCAGTATATCATTAGCTTTTAAACCACTTAATTTGGTAAAACATTAAAAGTCATTTGAAAACATAAATACTTCTTAGGGTCTGTGGTAAAAATATTTTCTTCCTTTGGTACCTTCCTTTTGTGAGATAAATGGCTGGCTTGGGAGTTTCCTTATTAATGTAGTTAAGAGTCCAAAGTTGGTACTTTGTGTTTTCAGAATAGTATTAATACTTTCAGTATTTAGGATGGTTAAAATTGTTATTAATCTTTTACTGACTTTCAATGCTTGCTTATATGACTGAATATTCTACTCCTTTTGTTTCTGTATATTTTTAAGTAGAGCAGTAATATAATTCAATTTAATTTTGATCTTAGTTTGGGTCAACATTGGTTAGGTATACATCTTTTTTAAAAAGTCTACAAAATTAATTGTTTTAGAAAACAATGTAATGTTTTCGGTTTATTCCTAGAAAATAAATGAACATTTATGATGTTCTGTGAAAATGTTATTTGAAATAAAAAAAAGCAGAATTGCTATGATAAAAAATACTTTTCTAAATCACTATTTTCAAAAGATATATATATATATATATCGTATTTTTTCAAAGAAAATTTGCATAAATTTGTTTAACATCTTTATTTCAGAACGTGAAAAAGATCACAGTTCCTCTCGTCCAAGCAGTCCTCGTCCTCAGAAAGCCTCTCCAAATGGATCCAGTAGCAGTGCTGGGAACAGCAGTAGAAACAGTAGTCAGTCAAGTTCAGATAGTAGCTGTAAGACGTCTGGGGAAATGGTGTTTGTGTATGAAAATGCAAAAGAAGGAGCTCGGAATGTAAGAACATCAGAAAGAGTGACACTTATAGTGGATAACACTAGATTTGTTGTAGACCCGTCCATTTTTACTGCACAGCCAAATACAATGTTGGGCAGGTTTGTATTATTGTGATTCTTTGCATTATTAATAAAAAGCACTTTTCCATTACCTTTTTAAAAATGTTTTACAATAATTGTCTAGTGGAATACAGTGTTGCTGTTGAGCTATGGCTTTTAAATAACTTGTTCAAGTTAATCCAGCTAGAAATTGTAGACCCAGATCTTGAGCTTGATTTTATTTTGAATAATGTTTGCTGTACCTGGAAATAGCAAATGCAGTAGTTAAATGAAGACAGGATACTTAAAGATCTGAAAACATAGATTGTATTTGACAAGAAGAATTTAACAGTGATAATGTTTCCTTCACTTGGGGCTCCCAAATTCAATCTTCAGATACAGCAGACATCAGCATTTGGTTAGCTGAAAAGTCAGCATGAGTTATCAGTTTGATGTATTTAAAGAAATAATGCTAACAAGTAGTCAGTAGAATGAAGGAGAAATAATGGTCTCTGAATCTGTACTGGTCTGGAGTAATAGATTAGTATAACATTTGTAGTTAAGGGAACCCATATTCTAGAATTGGTAGAGAAAATATGGGCTGTAGTTATGGGAACTTCAGAATAGACTTGATTTTTCAAAGTATTCAAAAGTAGGATCAAACACCTTTTAATTGTAAAATTAGTGCCTTTTTTCTATTCATTCTAATATAAAATGAAGGAAACGTAAATGAAATGGAAGTTTGCGTGAGGTTAAAAAGGAAAACTTGAATTTTTTCCTTGGTTGCATATGAGTAACTATTTGGGGTACCTGTGTATGTGTGTGTGTATGATTTGTAAGTATCTCAGAATCCAGAACAAATGCCAGCATGTGACACTGCTTGCATTTTGAGTAGACAAATATTTCCTTTTAACATTGGCTCTAGACTTTACTTTCTTTAAGGAAAGAAATACTTGTACTCTATAGGCTTTTACATATTATTAGAAGCATAGGAAAGACTCTTTCTTAAAAAAATCAAAGCATGTTTATTTATTTCCAGGACATTACAACAAACAGTAAAACTTGAAGGAAAGATTGTTGATGGGAATTTTTAGCAGGATAACTTGACACTGATCATATTTTATATTTTTACCTAAACTTAAACAGTTGAAAGGCAGAAGTAGGTATTTGAAATTTTTCTTCAGCTGATAGGCTACATTTCCTTTTAAAAATAAATTCAGAAGATTTTTTGTGTGTTTGTGATCCATATTGATCTGAAAAGTATAACTTTCCTTTTTTGCAAAAAGTTCAAGTATTTGAGAAAATTGCATGACATTTGATTCCTGAAAGATTTGCTTTTTTTCCAAATCAGTGAAGGCTTCTTTTCATGTCAGTTGACGAAAGCATGTCGTTGGGGATGAAAATTAATATTCATGGGAACTGTAAAAAGCAGTTGGCATTGTTTTGGAAACTTTGAAATAAGAAAGCTTTGTTCTTTATAGATTCTGTGTTATTAAAAAAAAAGAGGGAACTCTTTAAATTGGGAAATTGTTGAATAGGAAACTTAGATCGGCTGTATTGACTTTAGGAATAATGTCATTGAATTTAAAGGTTCAGATTCTTTTAATCACACTTTAAAAATTTGCTTGGAAATTATGCATTCAACTTTTTGTTTTGAAGGACATATTTAGCAGATTGCCTCTTTTTAAAATATTTACTGTTAAAGGGCCAACAACATGACTTGAAAAAATAGAAGTTCATCTGCATCTTCTTTTTGTAAAAATTAATATTATGAGCTTGTTACTTATTTAGAATTTTCATTCTCTTCTTCATTCCTCTCTACCCCAGTATTTGATTGCTTATTTTTCAGTTCTAGGATGCCAGTGTAAGAGTTTTGTGCAGGATTTGTTATGTTTATAGTTTTGTGAAAAGTAAAATAACCTAATCTGCCTGTGTTTATTTTACTTTTTTCTAGTTTAGATTATCATACATGCTACTTAATAGAGTAACTTTGCATTGAAGATAGTTGTTTGCCCTTCCTCCCTCTCTCCCTCTTTTCTCTCTTTCATTTTTCTCTTTCTCTGGATAAAATTAATATAAGAATCTCTCCTAGATTGATTTTTTTCCCACTCCTGTAGAAAAGGGACTGGAAAGTTTTTTAACTTTTGAAGCTTATTAATTGATTTTATTTTCTTATGGGGAATCTTTACTACTGTTTCCTCCCACAAAAAAAATTTTTTATAATCCTTCATTTATCACGTTTGCCAGAGTAAATGTCTGATAAATATTTGTGGGCTAGTTTAATGATGTAATTGGGATGCTAAAATTATAATTCCTTTTTACTTTTGTGCATGAAAACAATTTTCTCTTTTGAAGGGATAGCCTATTGATTTATTTCTCAATTACTTGCTACTATAGGATGTTTGGATCTGGCAGAGAACATAACTTTACACGTCCTAATGAGAAGGGAGAGTATGAGGTGGCAGAAGGAATTGGCTCTACTGTATTTCGAGCAATTCTGGTAAGTGCTGTTTCTTGTGTGTATTGATTGAGTCAGTTGACCCTTTCTCGGTAGGTACTTGGTTTGAAAGCAGAATTGTATTTGGATATCTCTGGAAGTATCCAGTGTATTTTTTAATATCATTTAATTCATTTTCTTTTGGTATGTAAATATAACATGATAAAAATAAGTGAATTTTATAACCTTTGCAAAAATAAGATAGGGGTAATTCATCTCTCAGGTCTGCATAGGCAGCTCTTTCAAGGGTTTAGTGGTAACATTTCTATAGTCAGACTACTCCACTTTCCTCAGTTCTATTAAATACAAGAAGTTGATAATTTTTTGCTGTCACAATAAATGTGGCTACTGGAATTCTAACATTTTGTTGCATATAACTAGTGGTGGACACTTAGGAATGTTTGAAAGTCATCTCTAAAATGTATTTCCTACCATTTTTGTATTAAAACTTAAATTTTTTAACCTTTTATTTTGAGAAATATTTGAATTAGTACTACAGTCACTACTTGTCATTTTAATCGGTGATAAAATTTGATTCATAGCATATGACAGTTTATTTTACAGTTTGAAAATATGGTTTCTTTAAATAGTTTTGTGGGAAGACGAGAGGGAGGATCCTGAGGTACAAGACAGGAAAAGTAGTTGATCGTGATCAGTACTAACAAGTACTTGGAAAAGTACCAGAAGATCTCTTGCTTGATTCATGTAGCAACTTCAGAAATGGTGTTACTGTGGCTCTGAACATCAAGAAGCTTGAGGAAGATCTTAATTTTTTGGAATGTGCTTTCTCAGCTGCCCATACTTCCATTTGTCCCTTAATGGTATTGACCAGTTACTCCATGACTCAACTGTGGAGTAACTTATCTATAGCTCTGGCCCAGCCCCTAACAGCATTTCAAGTAGATTTTGGAAATAATAGCTATTATTGTTTGTACTTCTGTGGGAAACACCAGAGAACAGTGTTTGGAAGAAGAATAATTGTGTGTTCTGTTTCCGTATATTTGAATACTTGGAGATGATTTTGAAGTTCTTTACTAAAAACCTTAAGTTTTGCCCCATTCTCTAGGTAATAGTTAAGGTAACGTAAAGTATATCATTTAACTTCCTTAAAATTTCTTTCAAAAATATATGGTAGGTATGTAGACAAATAACTTGTAAGGGGGGAATACATGTGAGTTAGCATGGTACAGTAGAGAGAAGAGATGCATAAGTAATGAGGAGACCTGGGTTCTAACTTTATCTCTCTTGTTAAATAATTTCATAACTGGAGGAGTCAGTGAATCCATTTGGACATAAATTTTTCTTGTCAGTAAAGGGAAAAAGTGGTTAGGTGAACTGAGGTCCCACCTAACTTTAAAATTCCACAATTCAGAAATCTCAAGAGTATCACAATTTTAAAAAATTCTATCAGCCCAGTCTTAAAATACATTTTGTCTACCTTGTGCATTCTTTTATGCAGTCTTTTTTTTTTTCAGGATTATTATAAAACAGGAATAATCCGTTGTCCTGATGGCATATCTATTCCTGAATTGAGAGAAGCTTGTGACTATCTTTGTATCTCTTTCGAATATAGTACTATTAAATGTAGAGATCTCAGTAAGTATGATGTTTTGTGTGTGAGTGGTTTGTAGAGTTACAATGTTTTGGAATGAAATACCTGAAATAGTGCTGTTTACCTAGACTTCAAGTATTTGTTTAATTGAATTCTAAAACACTAATTCTGTGAAGATTTATGAAGGTCCACAGAAATCATTGTTTGGTGCAATTTTCCAAAACTTTCTTTCAACTTAATAATTTTTTTGTTTGTAGAGTCTCCCATATTTATGCTTCTATTTGTTCTTCCTCTGTCATTTTTTGCCAGTCTGTATCTCCCACCTTGGTAGCCCTGACTTTGTCCAAGTGTGGTATTTGGCTTCACTCCTCAGATCACATCAACCAAGAATTTATAATTTCTTTTTGTATTTGCCATGCAACATAACATCCTAAGCAACTATGGAAGATACAAATCATTCTCAAAAAGAGTATTTGTCATTAAAGATCTTAGATTGAATACCAAATACCAGCCCTCATTTATACAAAGAATTAAATGGCTTTATTCAGGAACTTCAAATATAGTCTCAGAGCAAGTCTAGAACTTTGGAAATCCTAACTCTTTGATTGATATTTTCCTGTCATGTTACCCCCCTGCCTCCATGCCCATCCCTTTTACTGTTATGTTATGCCTAAGAAAAAAGGTGATTAAACACAGAAAATTTAAAATGTATATGAAAATTATCAAATGTTGACTTGGTTATCAAGTGGTTGGAAAAGCCCAGAAGGAGGAGATGTCATTGTGGGCTAGTAGGGTTAGGGAAGAGTTCAGACGAGACCGGTTGTAGAGTGAACAGGAATGATTTAGCAATAGAAGAGTAGGAAGGTTAGGGGATTACAGACACGAGTGTATACTTTGGAAATAACCTATATAAGAGACTGTATTGGGACCAGAAGGAGATGAGAATAAATATGGGGGCGAGATTGTGGAAGGTCTTAAAATTAATATTCTTACATTTTATGCTGTATAATGTGGGAAGCCATTGTAAAACTTTGCTACCTGTGCTTATAGATGTATGTTAGTCCCAAGTATACGGTTATGTTTACTTCATTACCTAAATGTAACACTAGCTTAGCAAAGTGGAGCCATACTTTTCTGAAACATTGCTGTGTTAGAAATTGCAAATGGGAAACTTGTACGGCATTTATTATACATTTAAATATAGCTATCCTTCATGCTTAATTATGGTCTAACTTCTTGAAAATGAGTGGTCCTGATTAGTCTGTCCTTAAGTACCAGTTTTTCTTTGTTTTATTTATTTGGCCAAATATTCCTTTAAAGTCTCCATAAAAATATCAGTAGGTGAGACAAAGATTAGATGGTCCACCTCTGAGTCCATTTCTATATAAATGATATTTAAAAGTTTAAAACCAAATAGTTGGACAGCTGAAGCATACAGCTGTAAACTTGAACAAATTTGCTGTCTTTTCACATCTTAAAAAATGTTTTTAGTTGAAATCATGAGCATTATTCTAATTTATAAATTCTTGACTTCATAAAACCTTCTATAAAGGTTTTGTGCTTTTTAATTCATGGGAACATTTTAATTTAATTGCATATGACTAAATGTTGAATTTTGGTGACTGCCAGATTAAAAAAACACTAGAATTCCTTAAAGATAAATGGATTTTAGTTCTGTAATCCTTTGGACATTATTTACATTGTCATCACTATTAAATATCATTTATTTGTTACAAAATTAGCAATTCTCATAGGCTCTATTAAAAGAAAACTATATAGAATCTGAGGAGATAGAAATGGTCTTGTAAAATATGAAAGTGTACTGTAGGTGTAGACTTGAGTCCAAAAATGATTTTTTTCCTGCCAATATGTGCTTTTACTGAATATTGTAATGGTACTTTACACGAAAATGTCTGTTTATCTCTTACTTAAAATTATAAAAATACTCAGTGTATTGAATATATTGAATACAGCATCCTGGATTTCTTGGGCAGATTACTTAAAACCTTATTTCTTAGTTGTGTCATCTTTAAAATGGGAGACTAATATTACTTACCTCACAGAGTTGTTGTGAAGATTAAATGTATAGTGCTTGACACATAAGAGCTTTCCAGGTGGTTCAGTGGTAAAAAAAAAAAAAAAATTTTGCCTGCCATTGCAGGAGAAGGAGGAGATGCAGGTTCAATCCCTGAGTCAGGAAGATGATCTGGAGGAGGAAATGGCAACCCACTCTAGTATTCTTGCCTGGAAAATCCTATGGACAGAGGAGCCTGGTGGGCTACAGTCCATGGGATTGCAGAGTCAGACAGGACTATTTCCACATGAAAATATATTGTGAATAACTATATTAGAAGATATCCTTTAGTTACAACTTGTTCAGTGGTTTAGATAGTTATTGCTTATTTTCTACATTTTTATTGAATGCTCATTTTATACCAAATACTCGGTATGTAAAAGGCAATAAGAAAAGACAAGATCCCTTCTCTTGTGATGCTTGCAATGTAGTGGAAAAAGCAGATAAGTAAATTATATTGTGTTAGAGGAAGAATGGGGTACTAGATGAGCATGTATGAGCTGTATCTAACTCAGGTGTCGGGGCTTGAGAAAGCTTTCTGGAGAAGAGGGAAGAGGAAGTGTGTTTCAGGCAGAAGGAATGCTATGTTTGGAGGCAACTAGGCTTTAATTTCTTCTTTGTCCTCATCTTCCCAGACAAGCACTGTAATCCAGAAGAGGTTTTGAGAACCAGGGCTGACCTCAGGAATGAAGGCCTGGGGCTAAGAGAAATGAAAATACAATGTCCCAGGTTAAATTGGTATTTGTCCAGTCTCTTAAGTTGTGTCCTACTCTTTGTGACCCCATGGACTGCAACACGCCAGGCTTCCCTGTCCTCCACTATCTCCTGGATTTTACTCAAATTCTTGTCTATTTTGTTGGTTATGCCATCCAACTATCTCATTTTCTGTCACCCCCTTCTCTTCCTGTGCTCAGTCCTTCTTAACCTCAGGGAATTTTCCAGTGAGTTGTCTCATCACATCAGGTGGCCAAAGTATTGGAGCTTCACCATAAGCCCTTCTAGTGAATATTCAGGGTTGATTTCCTTTAGGATTGACTGGTTTGATCTCCTTGCTGTCCAAGGGACTCTCAAGAGTCTTCTCTAGCACCACGATTCCAAAGCATTGATTCTCGGCGCTCAGCCTTCTTTATGATCAACTGTCACATCCAAACACAACTACTGGAAAACCTTAGCTTTGACTATTCGGACATTTGTTGGCACAGTGATGTCTCTGCTTTTTAATACCCTGTCTAGGTTTGTCATAACTTGCCTTCCAAGGAGCAAGCATCTTTTAATTTCATGGCTGCAGTCACTATCCACAGTGATTTTTGGAGCCCCCCAAAATATAATCTGTCACTGTTTCCACTTTCTCCCCACCTATTTGCCATAAAGTGATGGGACTGGATGCCATGATCTTAGTGTTTTGAAAGTAGTGTGGAAAATGAAATTTGAAGTTTGCAAAAGGACAAGTTCAGAAGGCCTAGGAAGAAAGGCACCATCCTTGTGGGAGACAATGGGATTACAAATGAAGATCAAAAACTGAAGTTACATTTAATTTAGTTTAGGAAGGGATATTAAGAGGCAGAGACTACTTTTGGAGTCACAGAAATAGAGACACTGAAACAACAGACACCTGTATGTTTTCTCTCTGTCTTTCTCTGTCTTGCCCTCTTTTTCAGTTTATAGCATTAAATCAATTGAATTTGAGGACGGGGAGTATACCTTTTCACTCTGTGTCTCTAGTGTCAGGCACATAGTAAGGACTCAATAAACATTTGTTGGATGAATAAATTCTTTTATTCCCTCATGCATTTTTAAGACACTTTTCCACTTATTGTCTTCTCTAGTATCATTAGTCTTTCCCTCTTTATAGAGTAATCCTCAGGCTCAAACATACTCCAGTCTGACCTGTGTCTGTTGTAGGCCTTCAAAAATACATCATTTGAAAATTTTTGAGCTTTTCACTGATTCTTTGAAGTTATTTTTTTGTAAGAATTAGCAGAACTCTATTAGCCTTTGCCCCACTTCATTTTGCGCTCAAAGGCCAAACTTGCCTGTTACTCCAAATATCTCTTGACTTCCTACTTTTGTATTCCAGTCCTCTAAGATGAAAAGGACATCTTGTTTTGGTGTTAGTTCTAGAAAGTCTTGTAGGTCTGCATAGAACTGTTTAACTTCAGCTTCTTTGGCATTAGTGGCTGGGGCATAGACTTGGATTACTGTGATATTGAATGATTTGCCTTGGAAACGAACCGAGATCATTCTGTTATTTTTGAGATTGCACCGAAGTGCTGCATTTCAGACTCTTTTGTACTGTATCTTGCTCCTTGGAAGAAAAACCATGACCAACCTAGACAGCATATTAAAAAGCAGAGACATTACTTTGCCAACAAAGGTCCGTATTGTCAAAGCTATGGTTTTTCCAGTGGTCACGTACAGATGTGAGAGCTGAGCCCTAAAGAAGGCTGAGTGCTGAAGAATCGATGCTTTTGACTGTGGTGTTGAAGACTCTTGAGAGTCCCTTGGGCTGCAAGGAGATCAATCAATCATAAAGGAACTCAACCCTGAATATTCATTGGAAGGACTGATAATGAAGCTGAAACTCCAATACTTTGCCCACTTGATGGGAAGAACCAACTCATTGGAAAATACACTAATCCTGGAAAAGATTGAGGTCAGGAGTAGGGGGCAACAGAGGATGAGATGGTTGGATGGCATCGCCAGCTCAGTAGACATGAATTTGAGCAAGCTCAGGGAGATGGTGAAGGACAGGGAGGCCTGGCATGTTGCAGTCCATGGGGTTGCAAAGAGTCAGCCACTACTGAATTATTGAACAGTGACAACAAGAATTAACATGTTCATTATACTGCCTCCTATTCCAACTACTGTGTCTTTCCATTTATTCAGTTTTCTTTTGTGTTTCTGCAATGGTCTATGTTTATTCTTTGATAATTTGTATTTTTGTTACTGTTGTGTGTAGAATATGTGTAG